GAGAGTTGACATTTTGAAATTTTCGAACACTATGGCGTATCTGTTCACTACGTTTCTTGTCGTGTGCCTTCCAGAGTGTAGAAGATTGCCCCGCAAAAGAGGCCTGCAGGCAGACATACTCTATCGTGGGGAGTACAAGCCGCTGGGAACAATTCTCCCCAGAAAATGTTTCGGAAAACGGAAACTTAAATGACTTTCGTGCTTGTATGCAAGCATGGAAATAAGTCCCTAAAAATGTGACAAGTTTACAAAAAGTATACAAAAAGTATACAAAAAGTATACAAAAAGTATGCCAAAAGTGCCAGCAAAGTGGGGCCGTGCCAATCTGCTATACTTTAAGTATACTTTATGAACCATTTAGAAAAGTACATAGTGTCATTTAGCTATACTTATTTCCATTTCCATGCGGGTAATGTCTATCTATGATGTAAAATTTATTATTTCCAAGATTTTCCCTGTGTTCCTACCTAGCGTTCAACTTAGAAAGGTGTTCGCTTGTAGTGTACGACTCCTTTGTGGAGGACCTCTTAAACTGTTGGAAATTATTTCGTAATATCACGAAAATTGTCCTGTTAATTTTTCTACACGAACTCTTCGTCATTTTAAAATAACGAATACATTCGTACAATGACGAACAGTTTGTAACTCGGTTGTTATCCTAACAGAACGATCCTAGGCAGAAGAATTTTTGAAACAAACACTCTCCCTTGTAGCACCAAACATTCAGACAACGCTCTAAGAACATTCTTTTGGTTCTCTGAAGGTTCTGTAAACGTTTTAAGAACGATATGTGCTACAAGGGCTAACATCATGGTCAATTGACACTAATTAAGTTGTGATGTTACGGAATAGTTCGTTTTCTACCTGCTACGCACAGTTCGTAACCGAAATTTACGTCAGGGGTCCGTAACTTAACATATAAGGACCTCTTAACGTTTTGTTAATCGTTAGTGTTGTACCCGATAACTGATATTGCCTACTATGGCACCTAACAGATACGTAAATAACTTATAACTTTTGTTTAAAAAAATAACCGTTATGGATTTATCAAATATTACTTTGATAAGTGTTTAAGTGTTATGTTCTATTTCATGGCTGTGCGACATAAGTCACTAAATAAAGGGAAGCCGCTTTTAACGTTAAATGAATAGGTTACATATATAACGTTAAGGGAATAACAAAATTCTTATTGGTTACGTATCTAACTTAACTTAAAGTTTTATTTGCAACTTTGTTAAATTATTTAACAAACCGATCATGTTCGTTATGTTAAGCTACGGACCCCTGATTTACGTTAATGTAAAATTTCAAATACGAATTATTCGTGACAGATTATTATCGTGAAATGACGCGAAATTCACTAACAGTGTACACAGTGAACGTTCAATCTAAGGAAGTGCTCAACAGGGAAGTTGTACAGTTGCGAGTATTCAATTCGCAGTTGTACTCGTAGTTTGTCAGTGTTAAGCAGTAGTGTAGATTATTTCGTTCACTTACACAGGTCCGGTGTCCCATCCATACCTTGGGATCTATTGCATGTTCTGTTTATAATCAAATCATTTTAGCTTCTTATTCGATTTCTTTCAAAAATCAACT